GCGGTATCTTGAAAGTCGTCCAAACAAAATTGTATTGCCCGTTCTACAATGGAGGTTGAGTTTATAGCCTTAGATAAAGCCGGTGAAGAACTTGAATGGCTACAGAATTTCTTGAAAGATATTTCATTTTGGCCCAAAGCGTTGGCTCCAATATGCATACATTGCGATAGTCAAGCGGCAATTGGAAGGGCTGGGAGGGTTATGTATAACGGTAAATGTCGTCATATACGACGAAGACATAAAACCGTTAGGCAGCTACTCTCTACGGGGATCATCATAATTAATTACGTAAAGTCAAGAGATAATGTGTCGGATCTGCTTACAAAAGGCCTAACTAGAGAGGTAGTTGAAAGATCATCGAGGGAAATGGGACTATGGCCGAGGACAAGTCATTGTGGCGGTAACTCTACCTAGAAGACTGGAGATCCCAAGATCTAGGTTCAAGGAGATCAATCAAAGTCATTAATGATGGTTCAATATTGTCAACTAAAATTTTAGTCCATTCTCGTGATGGGACAATGTTCAGTACCAAGGATAAAACATTAAGGCTTTTTAATGGTTTCTAAATTTGATACGAGGTATATCAAAGAGTGTATCTACGGGGTGACACGTTTAGGAATCACCTATGTAAGTGTGAAGTGTTAGCCGTTTCAAGGAGAATTTTGCAAGGCCAGTTCTCTACGCACTTATGAAACCATGCAGTGTTCATGGCTGAAACGAATATAACAATGAGAACCAAAGACGGTTGAGGGTTGATTGTATGATTTATGGTTGTCTAGGTATACACCAAAGTTCGATGGTTCAAAGATATCAAATCTACCGATTGATCGAGTATATCCGACATAAGTTCACTATGGAAAGTTCAAAGGGAAACCTACTTATCCAGATGCGATTAATCCTTGCTTGTAAATCACACAGTTTTTTCATGCATATTTCTGTGATATAGCCATTCCCATTCTTGTGGGGGATTGTTGGTTTAAGCTTCTTAGAGCTTAAAATAGAGTGAAGTGGAAAATAATTTTTTTTTGAATTCCCTCTTTGACAAAGGGACATTGTCCCATATTGGAGAAGGAAAAGAGTTCTGATGGGTATAAATATATAATTGCACTTCTTCTAGCTCTTAAAGAGTTGAGAAGAAGGCAAGCCTCGCGCCGTCGTCGTCGTCGCATGGCTCGGCTTCGGCTTCGGCTTTTGCTTCAGTCAAATGATCTGATTGATTGATTAATTTTTTGGACCGAATTTATTTGTTAATATTAACACACTATTATTTAATCCAAATTATTCTGTTTCTGTAACAGTAATTTAATTTTTTCCTCCGTTTTGTTTTTCCCATTTTAATTTGGGTTTGGCAGTTTGCGTAAATGGCCATTTTATAAAACAGCCATACATGAAGAGTTGCAACTCTTCAGTATTACCCAACGTTTTGGCTATAAATACATGAACTCTCCCTCAGATTTTTCTTGCAAAAATTCTGATTTCTCCTTCTTCCTTCTGCATTGTTTTAACAGAAAAGAAAGCAGTAAGTGTGATTTACTATTGTTCTTTGAGTTCGTTGGTCACTGGGGTTTGAAGTACCGCTACACCAGTGAGGTTATCCATTCTATCCTGGGAGAAAATAATCTTAAACCTCGGGTACTAGGAGGGGATTAAATTCCTTAAGAAAATATTGTGAATTTAGTGGGCTCAAATTAATTATGTTCTTCTACATTTCTGGTTTTGCATTGTTTCTATTTTTTGAATATATTTTCGAATAAAGAATACTAACATGTGTTTTCAAGTCAATTACACCATTATGGAGAGTTCTCTTTAAACCAAAAAAAGAGATTGTAAGGATTATTATTGGGATGAACCATACCTTTTCTGGATTTGTATGGATGGGGTGATTAGAAGGTGTGTACCGGAAGAGTAGCAAGGAGATATTCTTGGCACTTGTCATTCTTTGCCATATGGTGGTCATCATGGTGGAGCAAGGACGGAGGCCAAAGTTCTTAGTTGTGGTTTCTATTGGCCTACTCTTTACAAGGAGGCAAGTGACTTAATGAAAATATGTGATGAATGTCAACGAGCCGGTGGAATCTCAAAGAAAAATGAGATGCCTCTAACAACCATCTTGGAGATTGATATTTTCAATGTTTGGGGCATTGACTTTATGAGCCCTTTTGTGAGTTCTTGTGGAAACACCTACATCTTGGTCGAATGGGTTGAGGTCATCGCCTTACCCAACAATGAGGCGAGAAGTGTAATTGCTTTCTTGAAGAAGAATATTTTTACAAGATTTTGTACTCCACGTGCTATCATAAGCGATGGGGGGTCACACTTTTGCAACAAGTCTTTTGACACTTTACTTAGCATCAGTAGTTCCTCAAATTAAGATAAAGCTTTGGAACAAAAATGAATTCAAGATCTAAAGTTAGTAGGTTCACAATAAGTATGTTCTTACCATATGTACACATCTTAAATTTATATGTATACATATAGGGGTATCAAATGGGCGGATTTGACTAATTTTGAACGTGTAAAAATGAGTTGAGTTAATAAATAAGCGGGTACCCGTCCAAAAGTTACTTGAGGTGAAATGAGCTGAGTCAAAATGAACTAAAATTTGGGTGAGAGCCCAACCTACTCAACTCTTATTGTTTTCTTATGAATTGTTTAATTATCAAATAAAATTTTTTTTTTCTTTTGTTATGGTCATATATAACATATTAAACAACAACAAGCCAGGTGAAATCCCACGAGTGGGGTCTGGATATAACATATCAAACAAAAAAAAATTATTTTAAAGATATTTTAGCAAAGTTACTCATAGATCAATTTGGACTAAAAAATATGCCAACTTTAGATGGACTGAGATGGGTTAGATCAAGATAGGTTGAGTTCAACAAATGAGCGGGGCAATGATCGGCCCAACCTTGATCAGATTAGGCGGGTCAAATGGATTTGAGTTCAAATTATCACCCTTATGTACACATAATTCGAGCATGAAATAGATAAACACAGGCAAAACTCGTCCTAAATCCGCCTCGCCTCTGCATTTGGAGACTGAAAAATGAATGGCGGAGTAGAGAACATAGTAAATTATCATCATGATCAGGCAGGGGAAAGCATTGTTCTAATTCTAGACCTGAGGCAAATTATCATCATATCATAGAACATAGTAGTACAATGAAAAGTGTATGCTTTCAAATAACTGATGCTTCGTCAACTTTTGAGATCAGAAAATATTCAAGAAAAAGATAACTCAACCCAATATATTATTGCAGAGAGAAGCCTTATTTATTTGGATTGACAATCTCATGTTCATTTGGTGGCAGACAAAACTATAGCAATTCCTACTCAACTGTTGGTAGGAGTAGTTTCCATGTGGTTGGTGGAAAACGACTAACAGTAAATTAGAGAATTTTAAGAATCATCTTATTCGCTTTTCTTCAATTCTTTTTTTCCCTCCCATTGAAGTGGAAATTAACAAAGTCTGTTTAGATCAGATTCCTATCAGCTTCTTTAAATATATTATCACAAATCTAGCTCTATCTAACCCTTTTTTATGTTTGTTAAATGGCATCCAAGTTGGAAATTATGTCATAAAAGTGAAGAATCTCTATTAGTACAATGAACCTAAATAATTGATGATGAGTGTTTCCCTTGTTCTATATATTTATTTCTTGAAGCACTTTGAGATTCCTTTTTGATGTGGTTCTCTTCGATATAGAGCCAATTTGACTTAGTTGATTGACACAGCTGATAAAAATACCTTTAATTATTAAATTTGAGTTTATAAATAAGTAATTAATTTGTGTTTGAATAAAAATGTTGGAACCGATAATAAGTACTATATTGGTGGTGTGCCAACATTATCGCTTTAAAATGTTTCAAAATCACCTTAATTAAAGTTGTTCTAGAAAATATTAACCTAAAATTATCATTGGATGGAAAAGAATTGGAATTAAGAGAGATTTAGAGGTTTTGTTTCGGAAAGGTGGTTTGAGGATTACAAAATTATTAGGAATAAAATACTTGTTCAATTTCATTTGATATTCCGCTATTTCCTTATTTATTCATTTAATAATTTTTATATTTAGAAATAATTTAATTTTATTTTTTTTTTATTTAAACCTTAATAACATGTTTTCATTATAAAGTTCGGATTGCATGTGAAAATTTTGATTTGGATTTTCGGTTTTTCGGATATTAAAGAAATGACAATTCAAATCCAATCCAATTAAGTTCGGATTGAATCGGATTTTTTAAGTTCGGTTCGGATTAATCGACTTGGATATTTTGGATTTACGGTTTTGAGCTTATAAGTTAGAGATGTTTCTTCTTTTTACAAAAAATGAATATTCAAATTAAGTACTCATAATAAATTGCCCGAGGGTATTGAACTTATTACTATTGACATATAATGAACTAAATATAAAGTTTAAGAATTTCGAATTTTCGAATATCCAAAAATTCGAAGTAACAAATCTAATATCCAATCCGAAATCCAAAATTTTTAAAAATTAAATCCAAAATCCAATCCGTAATCCGAAAATCCAAACCAAAAATTCAAAAAATTCGGATTTCGGATTTGCCCAAACTATGCTCACCCCTAGTTTTCATAGCTACAACAATCTCATGGAATACATTATGATCGCAAATTCTAAAAGCCTTTTTTTCTTTCTTAAATTTCGTATCCAGTCAAACTATATCATGTAAATTCAAACGGGGTAATAAAAGTTTAAGTCAAACCAAAAATACTTATAAATTAAAAAGCTATAAGTTAAGATGACAAACTTATGATGTTTGACTAATTTTATCTTATAGTAAGCATTTATGATATTTACCAAAGGCGTAACTCTACTGGCTTAAAAACACAAGGACAAAGTTGAAATTTCAGGACATGATATGATGAAATAAATTACTAAGAAAAGAAGGAAAAAAAAAATCTCTGGCTTGACTAGCATTAATCTGCAGGAGCAAGTTAGAGATGATTTCAGAAAATGGAAAGATATTGAATGAAATAAAGGGAATGAACCATCCTCAAGTTTAATCTAACAAAGAAAGCTTCAGGGAATTGATGTGATATTACAGACTCAATTCTCGCGGCGTAGGGCAATCACATAAGATTCCCATATAGATATTTTGTGAGTTAAGTACAGACGACTAGTCAATTATATATCCATGAACTCAAATCTAAGCTACTTTGGGTGGCTCTCAAATCCCAAAAATACCGTTAGTGAAGCAAATAGGACCAATCATAACATAAATTTGATCCTGCAGGTGAAATAAAATATACTAAGATTCACACAAATTAAATCACAGAAGTAGTCGGTCTGATGAAGTCTAAAATCTTATCACACCAACTGATCATCAGCTCATAGATCAAATGTACTTTTTTGTATTTGTTTTCTCAAGTCATATTCAAACTCAAAACCTGAAAAAGCCAAGGAGGATTATTCAATGAATCTTGTCTAAATTGCTCTTCAACATTCGGATTACTTTGTCTTGCACCAAGCTGAAAACTCGGATTCGAGACGGGAAAATTCTCAAGTCCCCATTTATGGCCATTTAGATCATTTCTTGGATTTCTTGCTGAAGTTGAAGGCTTTATAATTTGGCTAGAAGAGCCCGTGGAATTAGAAGAAGAAAAACTTGGTGCAGAATCAGAATTAGCTGTTTTTCTCCTGCGGTTGTAACTTGACAGGCCTAAAGTTAACTCGAGTTCAGTCTCATCTTCAATATTATTATCTTGACCAACTGATTCTGCAATATGCTCTTGATCATTTGGCCTTATTTCCAAGTCAAAACATTGACGGGTCTTCTTGTTTGAATCAAGAATATTATGATGGTTGACCACTTGATCTTTCACTTGTTGCCGGCTACTTGACATGTTTTTCATCAGTAATTTCTGGGTTTGATATAGACGATGAAGTTCGTACACCTGTGATTCGGAGAGAACATGAAATTAACATTCGTGCATACAAGTGTGCAACCAAAGACAAATATATAATGAATCAGAGTGTGATCTTATTATAATTATAAAATTTAAATGTCTTTTCACATGTGTATACATATAGCTCGAGTAAAAGTGAAATAGTTTAGAAGAATATATATGGGGATGGGAGAAGTACTGAGTACTATTTAGATTACCTGCTCTCTGAAGATTTCCTCGTGTTTTAACATGGCCATCTTCATGTATTCCTTATCGTAGGGATTGAGAAGCTTCTCCATTTTCAAAGCTGCCTCGGATTTTAGATTGCTTGAAACTGAAGAAATTCTAAGAAGAAGAAGAAGGGACGTTTCTTTAATTCCACTCAATATCGGACGGAATTTTGAGTTAATGTATATCCCCACTTTTAAATCTCTACATAAAAGAAACAGAAATCTGGGTAAGTTTCTTGAAAGTGAATAAAGAAATAGTAGTCATTTATTTGTAGTATAAAGTAAGTTGATAGATGTCAAAGGCTGCTATCAGGCTTCCGAAGTTGTCGCACAAATGTTTTTGATGACTGAAGGAAATTAACGCACCCCTTTTATGGCATGTATGATTTTGTTTGTAATCCTTACATAATTACTGTCAGTTTGGGCCACGGCAATAATTAATAATATTACAATTCCTATAGAGCATGTCTTAATATCACTATCATATGAACAGTAGTTATCGTGTAAAATCAAGTGCATACCAAGAAAAATACAAGATATTTTTCGCCAAAACAATATGCACATGCATCTCCGCCAATTAAAGCCAGTGCTTATCCTCGACTGCTACTACTTTTTTTTTTCCTTCGAAGTTTCTGCAAGTTTCTTCAATTGTTGGGTTATAAGGAAGAAGCATATCAAGATAACTGTTGCAGAAGCGAGCAACTTACATGTTGAGTTGTACTATTTAATTCCCTTTAGTGTATGAAAGAAATTAAGGAAGAGGTTTGCTAGTCATTAGATAAAATATTTTTGAGTCTAAAACAAAGTGCATAATCAGATAGATCGTTACAAGAATTAAATGTATCATCACCAAAATGACTAAAAGAAGTTGATCGTACCCCAGACTAACACATGCAACCCTTTCATGTATATTAAGTTAATATATCTCATATCAAGAAACTTAGATTATCAAGAAAGAAAGAACAAGAAAATATGATGTCGACTAAATCTATAACTGGTTAAGGCACCAACATAAGTAAGATAGCAAGTAGAGACGACTGAATTGAGCTTCTTTAATTACCTGTAACGTAGTACTTTTATGAAGAAAAGAGAACAGAAGGCAAAAGAGGAGGAGGAGGAGAATTTTGAGGAGCTTGAAAAAACTTGAAACCCAGGCTTTCTTTCTTTTGAAAGAAGAGCTAACAACCCACCTTTGCCTTCACATTCCACAGTATATACTGACCCGAAGATAGAAATAAAAGAAAATAATTAAAAGAAGAAAGAATTAAATAGCATTATTAGGACTGCTGAGGAAGAATTTAAGATTCTCTTTTTACATACACACAGAAATCAAAACAAATGTTGTTGCATTTTTGGAGTTTGAGGAAAAAAGATAGAGACTAGCTAGTTAGGGAAGTAGGGAGGAAGCATGCCAAACAAATCCAGTGGCCTCAACCAATGTGGGTTGAGTTTTGTGAAAGAGATGCCCCAGACAAGTCCAGCACTGCACATAATATTTAAACATTTTCTAATCACGATAACAACATTATTAATACATATATAGTTGTACTGTCATATAATGCAGGGGAAAGAATAATATATAGTTGTATATATATGTGGATCACACCACAAAGGGGGAGTTTAAGGCAATCATCAAAATAACAGCTTAGGAATCACATGCAATACAAGAATACAATATAACCTTAATTCTGTACACAGTTGTCGCAACCTTTACCTTATATACTTGTAATAGAGTCGTATCTGATATTGTCCCCAATCCCCATTCCATTCTTGTGGCCTTAGAAGGGTAGAGAGAAAAGAAAGGTGGCATCACCTGGCCCGCCGACAATAGATCTGATCCTGGCCGTACCTTTTGTGGGTACCCTTTCGTATGATCCAAAAGTTGATCAACTTATCTTGAATATTTACCCACATCATGCTACGCCTCAATTATTGTACACACAAGATATATATATATTTTTGTAAAACAATTATGTGTTCTTAGCTTATGATTACATATTTAACTTATATACACTAATATAAAAGATTTTTTTACTATTAATACATTTTTATCCATCATCGCAATAGTTATTATGCTATTAATCGCTGGTTACAGTATTGGGCTTGCTACTTATTGATGTACACAATTATGTTTTTTTTGCTCATGATTAAAATTTGGGGTATTATCATTTTTAGCTCGCGCTAGAAACTATTTACGTTTGGTAGCCAAAAAAGTATATAAAATTTGAATAATTTTTATATATAACATACAATATATATATATATA